TCCCAATTTTTCCGTAAAAGATGTCCTCTTTACTTGAGAGTCTTCTTTCACCGTTTCTTCGGTGTTGCCTATTGCATCTTCCGCGTCATCTATCGGTGAGAACTCTATGGGTTTCTGGTTCGGTTCCTCTGCAGTGGGCATTGGAGTTGACTCTGTCGCCATCTTCCTTGTTTCATCCACACTTTGATCGGGTGTCTCTAGATCAATCTCGATGGTGGGTTCTACTCGCTCCCCTTCCGTGCCCTCTTTCGCCCTGTTCTCCGCTGTACTCCTTGTGCTGACCATGTTAACTGAAAAGTTCGTCTTCGTTATCTTTGGGCCCGTTGATGTCGTTCCGCGCAGCGATGAATTATATTTCGTGTTTGATCCACTTGACCTTTTTTCGAGCACCGGTACCCTACTCCGCCTCATTATTTCTATTTACAACTGCTTCTATTTACAATTTTATTATATACACGATTCTATTCTAAGGGTAAAAAAAATATTTTTTGTGGTAACAAATTCTGTACAACGTGTTAAAAACCTTATCCAATTCTCTTTCTAAAACCTCCGAAAAATTTTCCTTAATTTGGTCTTAACCCTACCTATTTCGATTTGTCTTATTCTGTCTTAAAACGCACTTGTTGTAATTTGACTTCAATTTCTATACCGTCCCAAGACTATTCGTCACTATCACAGTACTCTCCGTTAGTGTCCTAAGACCCTTGTACCAAGACCACTGTTCCAAGACTAGTGTCCCAAGACTACTGTCCCAAGACCAGTGTCCCAAGGCTAGTGTCCCAAGACTACTGTCCCAAGGCTAGTGTCCCAAGGCTAGTGTCCCAAGACTACTGTCCCAAGGGTAGTGTCCCAAGACCAGTGTCCCAAGACTACTGTCCCAAGACTAGTGTCCCAAGGGTAGTGTCCCAAGACTACTGTCCCAAGACTAGTGTCCCAAGGGTAGTGTCCCAAGACCAGTGTCCCAAGGCTGGTGTCCCAAGACTAGTGTCCCAAGACTAGTGTCCCAAGGGCAGTGTCCCAAGACCAGTGTCCCAAGGCTGGTGTCCCAAGACTAGTGTCCCAAGACTAGTGTCCCAAGACCACTGTCCCAAGACTGTCCCAAGACCACTGTCCCAAGACCCTGTCCCAAGACCACTGTCCCAAGACCCCTGTCCCAAGACCCTGTCCCAAGACCACTGTCCCAAGACCCTGTCCCAAGACCCTGTCCCAAGACCCTGTCCCAAGACCACTGTCCCAAGACCACTGTCCCAAGACCCTGTCCCAAGACCACTGTCCCAAGACCCTGTCCCAAGACCCTGTCCCAAGACCACTGTCCCAAGACCACTGTCCCAAGACCCTGTCCCAAGACCACTGTCCCAAGACCCTGTCCCAAGACCACTGTCCCAAGACTGCTCTGTCCCAAGACTTCTTCGGTCTTGTCCCAATACTCGTCACGGAGTGTCTTCCTCGTTGTAGGGTCCTCTTGAACCACCGTACCTTGTACCACCACTCAAGCTCTAGTAAAATTTTCCCAAAAACCCTCTCTTAAAAGCCAAATGCTGACCCCCCTCTTCTTTTTGGTTGTTTCTCTTTCAATGTAGGTGCGCAGGTATCTTGTGATCACCTGTTCGTATAAAACCAAACACAAATCCTCAATAAAATGCAACAAAAATTTTAAGTAAGAAAAATAATAAAAACAGAAAAATGAGCCCACCTAAAATTTAAAGGTGACCAATGTCTACCTTTCGTCTAAAAAAAAAATTTGTCTGGTACCTAATTGCCACGCGTTTTCCTCCCCCCACTAGTGATCTTATGGGGTATCACAAAAGCTGTCTATATCCGGTCCCCCCTACCAAACCAACCAGCGTACCAGTCTTAACTCGAGTTGAATTTTGGATCTCCACCTAATATTACCAACGCGTGTTAATTTCTAATGTAACTAAGTCAACGATGTCGACTAATTAGTTACTCTAATTTCCCTCCTTTTTACAATTTACAACCGCCAACCTCTAACTTAACCAGCCCCCCTTCTAACCTCCCCCCTTTTTAGCCCCCCTTCTTAAGCCTAAAAATTACTTTAAGCGCCGGGTGCTAAACCTCTCAAGAGAAAACCGTAGACCTGTTTCCAGGCCTGCTCAAGTAAAAACGTTCCTCAAAACTGGGGGATTTCGCTTATCCAATTCTACACTTATCTCCTATAATGTAATGTGGATTCTAACGATACCCGTTCTGCCCAACTTGAGAACTCGAGAATTGCCAAATCCTTCTTGGCTGCTTTCCCACTCGACTGGTCACCTGTTCCAGTCCAGTCTCCTATTGGTTCAGCCAAGTGTCCCTGAACCACTTTCCCACTCGGCTGGTCACCTCTTCCAGTCAAGTCTCCTATTGGTCCAGCTAAGTTCCAAGCTATCTGAAAACCCTTGACAACGCCCTACACTCGGGCACTTTATTACGGTTACTGGGTTAAATTGCTAGGTTGATCGAAACGATCGAACTTATAAAACAGTATGGGTATACTATTTAATTAATATAAAGGTTTGATCCAACTGATCTGGTGTCAAAGTCACTGTCTTTTTTTGTTTTATGGTTTTTGTTCCTTTTTCTATTCTTTTTTGGTTTTTGTTTTGCTTTTTGTCTTTTTGCTCGTGTTTTTGTCCCCCTAGTTGCCCCCCTTTACTCGGTTAGCTAAGCCTCGTTCGGAGAGCGTACCAGGAAATTTTCTCGAGTTTTCTTAAAAAGCTATCACGGTACAACCGGAAGGTTTGCACGTTCCTGTCGAACCGTACCGCCGGTACTCTAGAATGGGCATTCAGCCCGAAGCTGTCTCAAGTGGGTTCGACTCCGTAGTCTTGATGTCGTAAACACCCAGGAGCGCCATAAAAACACTATGTAACATTCGTCTACTACAGTCACACATGAGGCTTAAGAAAAATAGGCCCTATAACCACTGGCTCAAGGGTCAGGGACACCATCTCTTGTGTTTTTCTACCTCAAGAACGGTCGGAGCCAGTTCGGTTCGCTTGTGACATGAGACTACGACCCGTTACAGCTTAAAGGCTACTACTAAAATATTACCCCACTCTAGAATTAGAAACGTCCCCATACTTAGGTCTCTAGATACCCAAAATACATGAACGCCGTTAAAAACCGGGTTGGAACAATCCGTTAAGTTACTTTTTATTAGACAGTGGAACTTTGATCCATTTCAGATGGATCAACCTAAAACTCGCCTTACCTCAACATAACAATCATAAAACACACTCTAGAAATTAAATTAAGTACTCACATTGTAGCACGCTCAAGAACCAGGAAGTAAATAAGTCGGTAAACAACTCAAGAATCAATAAAGTAACTAAGATAAGTTTAATGTCAGTCAGTTTTAACAACAAGAACAAGTTTTTACTCTAGACTGCAGTTTTATGTGGACCATTGGGACACTCAAGCTGTCCACCTTTCCGTCGAAGGTTCACTCTGGTCCAGTTCGAATAATTGTTCTCTCGGGAACACTCTGTCTTCTATTTCAGATAGGACAGCTCTACTCTTGTTCACTATGATGGAAATTGCGAATTGCAATTTCACACTCGTTTTTATCTGACAACTTTCCCGCTATTGTTCTGAAATTGTTCTCAAATTGTTCTGAAATTGTTCTGAAATTGTTCTGATTTTCAGTTCTCGCGAGAAAATCGTGCATGACATGTTCCATTCGAAATTTTAAAAATTTAAATTTCACTCCAAAATCAAGTGTTTTCTGCTCTTCTCAAGGTCAAACTTCCAAATATGACCGACTGGCACATAAGTTTCGCTTCTCTCATCTAAGTTGGCCTCTACCGGTATTGAAGGATCTTATTAACGTCTTCTTTCTCAGAAGAACAGGCATCATTTATGTTCTAGTTCCCTCAGCCTAAATTAACAACGCCTGTTTTGAAGGATCTCATCTACAACCATATTTGCGGAAGCATGGTTCTCATATAGGTTTGCTGTTCTTGTCCAAAATCGCTTTTAACAGTTTTCGAGGATCTTAACAACTTCCTGGTTCTCGAAAACGTTGCTCTCATCGAAGTTCCACTTTTCTCGTTTAGGTTTGCCTCAACCACTATTGGAGGATCTCTTCAACGTTTTCTTTTGCGGAAGCATAGTTCTCATCAGGAAAATAATATCACTAATTTTCTGGACAAAATAAAAAAACGAAAGTTTTATTACAAGGACAAACTGTGTGATTAGAAAGAGAAAAATGAATATTAGACAGTTTGACAGCCATAATAAATCGCTTATATCAATTTCCGAGGATCTCAACATTCTCCTGGCTCACGAAATTCACGAAAACATTGCCTCTATCGAAATTCCGCTTCTCTCGTTTAGGTTTGCCTCAGCATGTATTAAAGGGTCTCGTCAATAAATTTTTTCGCGGAAGCATGGCTCTCATCTACGTTTCCCTCCTATCAGTATTGGAGGATCTCATCGACGTTTTTAGTTTTGGAAACATAGCTCTCAATTAAATTCTGCTTCTCTGATCTACAATTGCTTCTTAAGAATTGGAGGATTTCATCAATGTATTTTTTCTCGGAATCCCTGCTCACATCTAAACCTATCTTATCTCATCTAAATTCGCAAAGACCAATTTTCGAGGTTCTCATCAACCTCTTGACTCTCGAAACATTGCTCTCATCTAAGTTTTGCTTAGATGAGAGCTTCGCAAGAAAACTCAAATAAATTTTAAGTTTCAAAGACGGCTTACATTGTCCCAGTGTATTCTTCCTTAAATAGAGATATATAGTAATTATTAAACAGTACTTGTGTTGCTTTGAATGGTCATATGTTGATAAATTTTGTTGGATGTTTACTCTTCCGTTACCGGCAAGTAATGTGTTGGTCGGAACAATAATGCTGGCGTAGACCTAGGCTGGTTGTTCTGTAGTCTACAGCAAATAGTTCGAATTTTGGTAGTAATTATGAGAAACTTCACGTTTATGTTTTGAAGTAAGTACAAAAAGTTTTGAAATAATTCCGCAATTTTCATAGTTTGCGAATGATTAATGGTCTTGCGATTTCGGGACATTCGGCAGCTCCGTCTGTTCGGCAAAGTACTAATGATCGAAAAGCCCTAAGGCCGCCTTCGTCTGCTAGACAAAAGAAGGATTCATCGAGACTATCTGTACGACAGAGCTCAAACACAGAGTGCTCGCAATCAGCTGTATTTAATGGCAGTGAAAGGTCTGATGGTGACACAGAAAATAATTTGAAGTTGAACCTTTCCATTTTGTCCTCTCGCAGTAGTGCGAGAGACAGCAAACATGTTCCTGGACCCTCAAACTCCTTGACTGATAATTCAAGCAGTTGCAATAGTCAGTATCCTTCAGAGAACGACCAATCTCAGAAGCTGCCGTTACCCGATGTATTAGGAAACTCAGATGATTTTTTAACCGTTGTAAATAATGCTGCAGCGACAATACAAATATGGTATCGATACAAAAAGCGAAAGAAGAGCAAAACTGTTTTGATGGTAAGTGCTCAATACAATCAAAGTTTTCGTTTTATGTCAGTAATTGAAAGCTGCGAGACAATTGAGTTTGTATTTAATTTTGAGTTGACATTTAATTTTATCATAACCATTTTTTTTGAAACTAGGAATACCTTTCTTTTTTCAGGAAGTTTTAAAATCAAAGAAATCAGAGAAACAAGAGCAGTTGAAAAACTCCAAGTCAGAATTGACTAGCATCGAAAAGGCGAGAATACGTCAGAGGAAGGAGGAGGAAGAGAAACGAATTCAGAGACGACAAGCTATCGAAGAGCTTCGCAAGAAACGCGAAGAAAAAGCGAAAGCTGCTTATGAAAAAGCCGAACAAGAAGTTAAGTTGGTGGCTGAGAAAAAGAAAGCGGCTAATTCATCTGCTGGTATGATCTTCTGTAATAGTTGTTGGTACTCAACAAGATTTAAATTACAGTAGTAGTATAGAGCAACAAGAGGTCATGCCTATTTTCGGAGAGAGATCAACTTTTCAAAGTCACGTGAATATGTTTCTCAATTAGACTTATCTTTTTTTCTCGGGGGCGGAATAAAGATCTTATCAGATTAATTTTTCACCTGAGGTAATTTTTGGGGGTATAAGACCGGGCTCCTTGGGGACATTCTGCTCAATTGTTAATTAAGTGGATAACTCTTTGACATCGCTGAGGGAAACAAATTCTTATCAGATTAATTTTTTACATGAGTTACTCACCGGGGTATTTAACCGGCATCCTTGGGAGTAAATTGTTTATACGTAATTAGGGATAGCTTTATGACATCACCGAGGGGAAAACAATTTAAAAAAAGTAAATTATAGAAGCGGCCCTTCCGTTTAGGCACGGTCGTGCACAAGCTGGATAGGGCCCATACCAGCATTATATAAATACATCAATAAACAATATTGCAGTAATTAAGTCAAGTCAGCATTTAGTGCATTGTGATTAGAAGTATTTATTTCATTCGTCCCTCCTCTACAACACCACTAATTGAATTGTCTATGAATGGGGTCTTACGCAGTGATCTGCACCCCCGTATACAAAGGATAGCGCTCCTGAGCAGCGCGAAGCTTATCTTAGTTTTTAAATAGTTTATTGTTTCTGAGTAGCTTTCATGCCTTTTTTCACTAAGTTTTTCAGCTATGCACTGCATTGTCTGAGTGAAGGGCGTGGGTAAGGTCGAAAGATTGACCACATGCAGAAGTGACTGGAATGTTGGTTGGTTCCCATCCATATCTGAGATAAATTCCATCCCGGAATTCGGATTTATTCAGGTTATTCTGTCGATAATTTTTTTTGCGATTTTGGCTATTTTCTTTGATATTTCAACTGACTGTTGACCAAAGTGCGTTAGTATGCGTCTCCACTCATTTGCTTCCAGACCTGAGGGTCCATGAGAGCCATGTGTTGTCATGGCAGACTTCCTAATTTTCTGGGCGTTTATTTGGTCGAATGTGGATGAGTGGAAAGGGATTGCATCTTCGGAGCATGATGTTATATAGTTGCTGTTTACTGGCTCCGCGGGAGGGTGTTTCTCTATGAGGATTTGCTCAACAGTTTGTCTTTTGACGGTTTCATCGAGTGAAAGAACTCCCTTGGAGGTATCAGTTAATTTAGCAATAGTACTTGATATTTTTCCGGTGCTCATTAATATAATAATTTGGTGTGCTTCAATTTTACTTTCTTCTTCTTACTCTTTACCAACCACAATTGCAGCGCTTTTCCCTCGTTAAAAACCGTCCAGTTTGCCCTTATGCCATTGCTTAAGCCTTCTTGCTATAGTTTTGGAGTTCGATCCATCGCTCTCCGATTTGGTTTTGCATAGCATGAGGTGAGAGAATATCATTGTTGAGTGCATTGCGTATGTGTTTCAATTAACGAGTTGAGGGTTCTATTTAGAATTTCTATAAAGTTAAACCCAACTCTGTTTTTTGCGAGGATCATGAAGACTGGTTTCCGGTGCACTACTTGGCTGTAGATTGTTCTTATTTTATCTTTTAGTTCAGGTGTGGGATTTGACCAGGGGTTGGGTGTGGCTGTTAGTTGCGTTGCTGTTTGCAATGGCAGGATTTTGATCGTTGGTCGAAGAAGCTTGTTGAGGTTGTGTTGGAGGGGCTTGAATGTCAGTGGTAGTGTTGTCTGTAATCAGGGGGGTGCAGCGAATGCTTTTGAAATTGTCGTCGTGGTCGCTGGCTCGGTTAAGGCCGCTGCATTTTACATGCATGTAGGCTGCGCATGTTGTGCACCAAATTCCACGGCCGCGTAGGTGGTCATTACATATGACACAATGTGTTTGATCTGACATTATATGAGGAGGAGCGGTATCGTCAGTTTATCAAGAGAATTTAGAAATAATATAAGCAAGAAAATGAGTAAAGAATTCATTACCAAAGAACGAGATTTGGATGCCGTCCCGGCAGAACATTTGAGGGGTTAGATTTAAGTTAAGATCGGGCGGGCGAAACAATGAGTGTGTGTGGATGAACATATTTATTAATCAAGTCTTACAGCACATGGTTATGAGTGTAAAGTTTGCGATTAACATAGTTTTTTTGGAGCTTTGGATTGTTTTGGGGAGAATTAAAGTTTTGGGCTGGAACTTGTTTGTAATTAGATTGATTAAGTTTTTCCTCTTCAGCTCAATTTTTCGTGGATGCAGCCTATTGTCACTAAACCCGGCGATAATGGTAACTATATTAAGGTGCTTTGGTCTGTATTGTAAAACTGTTTGATACAGATCTTGGAGTGTGGCGCCGCGGTACGAGTGAATTGCAGATTTTACTAGAGCTGGTTTGATATATTTTGTCCTTGGTGTGCCAATTACAAGATTCCGTAAAAAGTCAGGGATACGCCATGCCTGGAATCGGGGCATCCGCCTGAAACACAGACAGGGAAGGCAACGGAGAAGCTCTTACATAGAAAGATGGGGGGATGGTTGGGCGATTAATCAAAGAGTTTAATTTAAATATGAGTTTTAAAAAAATGAAAATAAAAGAACAAACGAAAAAGTGATAGGTAGGAACGGTACACACTGTGGTGTTGTTGAAGGGTAGTTCCACCTGCTAACTCCTTCTTGCGTCTAGATACGCCAGGGAAGCTTCACTCGCCTACGGCTGGGACGGCGATATTTGGTAAGATAATCAGAAGAGGAAAGCCCAGCGCGCATATGATATCTATTTATTAAGTTTGAAAGAAATCTATTTAATAAGTTTATCACAATTAGGCTAATTGTATCAATTGTATCAGAGTTTTGTTTTCACTTGAATTGTTTATCCACCTAATTATCCAGTATTGCTGGTCCATTTTATTTAATTTTTTTAAAAAAATTGGAGGATAAAATTATAAATTAGTCATTAGAGGGAGTTCTTGTTCCTTCCTTTCCTAAATTTAGAATCAAGTTCATTATCTGCCATAATTGCAGTTTCTTCAGCTGCGTCTAAATTAGCTTAAAAACAGCTTCAATTTATTTTCAACTTCTCTTGAACTTTATATTATTAAGTTTCATTCAAAAATTTAAATCATGATGGCAGCTGGGATAGCTCTCTGAAAGCCAGAATTCGATATGGAAACGCGACGCGTAGACTCCACAAAACCTAAAGAAGTGATGCTTGTTCAGAACTCTCCATTTAACGACTTGGAAGTTGCACAGCAGATGCTAGTTGCGATACAACCCGAAACGCCCCAAATTACCAGAACACAGATGCTTCCTGAGAACTCCCCATTCAACGACTTGGAAGATTGAAAACTGTTTTGTATAATCGCTGACTCCATCCCACCTTAAGAAGCGATGCTTCCTGAGAACTCTCCGTTCAACGACATGGAAGCTGGACATCGGATGCTGGTTGAGATGAACCCCGAAACGCCTCAAATCACCAGAACAAAGATGCTTCCTGAGAACTCCCATATCAACGACTTGGAAGATCGAAAACTACGTAAACGGAAACATCAAGGAATTATGCATCCGATGCAGAGACGGTCACAGGACAAGAAAATAAGAGTAGCGAAAATTAGAGCTTCTCAAAAACTGACCTCGAACAGAGATATTTAAACTGTTTAACTTAAATGTTAGTGTTAAGATTTTCGATTGTCTGTTGTCTAAAAATTGATTTCATTGTTTTGCTAATTTTCGTGTCCTAGAAAGCAGTTTGAATGGTTTTTGTCGAGTTTTCACAATATAATAATCCGATATGATACGGCTCATTAGACAAAAAAATAAGTAAAAATTTTATTTGGAATCTTAAAAAAAAGGAGCAGCAAAAAATTATATTTTAATCATCAAACAACTAGGATTTTCTTTTTTAAAGTCAGTTTTGGGTTTTTCCAAAAAAAATATTAGTGTGCTTGAGCTCAGTGAACGAGTATGTTTTCAACAACAAAATTTTTTTTTTTAAATTTTCCTAAGTAGAAACACCAATCTCACGATAAAAATTCTCCTTGCTCTTGTTTCTCTTACTGATAAACATCGAAAACTATCCTGGAAAACTCGAAGATCGAAAACTGTCCTGGATAATCGCTGACTACATCCCACTTGAAGAAGCGATGCTTCCTGCGAGCTCTCCATTCAACGACATGGAAGCAGGACATCGAATGCTTGTTAATATGAACCCCAAAATGCCCCAAATTTCCAGAACACAGATGTTTCCTAAGAAATCCCGATTCAACGACTTGGAAATCGTAAACTACGTAAACGGAACATCGAGGAATTATTCATCCGATGCATAGACGATCACAGGTTAAGAAAATAAGAGACGCGAAAGTTAGAGCTTCGCAAAAACTGACCCCGAACAAATATATTTTATTTGTCTAACTTAAATGATAGTGTTAAGATTTTCGATTGTCTTTTGTTTAAAAATTGATTTCATTGTTTTGCTGATTTTTGTGTCTCCTAGAAAGCAATTTGAATGGGTTTTGTCGAGTTTTCACAATATAAAAATCCGATTTGATACGGCTCATTAGACAAAAAAGTTGAATTTTGTTTAGAATCTTTTAAAAAGGAACAGCAAAAATTTGTCTCGATTCTTCCAAATGGAAAAAATTAAATTATATTTTAATTATCACACAACTAGGATTTTTTAAAAGTCAGGTTTGGATTTTTTTCAAAAAAAAAAATGAGTGTGCTGGAGTTCAGTGAACGAGTAAGTTCTCAACAAAGAACCATTTTACATTTTGCTAAGTAGAAACACCAATCTCACTATGAAATTTCTCCTTCTCTTGTTTCCCTAACCAATGAGCAGTTCTCGTGATAATATCTTGAATAGGGAAAAAATAAACATCAATAAAAATCTATTGTTCGAAAATAACAGAACTTATAGATACAATTTTCGGGATAAAACTTAAACCAAATGCAATCAAAGATATAAGAAAGTTCAAATCTTCAGAGGTAGTGTATG